GGCATCTTCCTAACTTATTCTTGACATTATAAGGATATCAATGGAATGTGGGCTGCCAAATGGTAATCTCTTGCTAATGCCATATGACCAGATACTCTTCTTTTTTGCCTGTCCATTTATTTCATGGCATTCTTTAAACCTTTCCTTTAAAATTTCTTGTTTGTGAAATGTTACAACCTACCCTAATCCACCATGCATCTTGACACTGCCCCTTAAGTGATCTTCAATTTCAGTTCTTTGGATAGTATAGTGTGCCATGACTTGCGGCTATATAACAACTCTGGGGAAATGTTGGTGTAGAAATATGGATCTTTACTTTAGGGAGTATTATTTCTTTTTTATTCTATTCAGTTATATTTAATTCATTTAAATTCATTCATTTAATTCATTCTAATTCATGAAATGATAAATATTTATTAAGCACCTACTATATGCAGGGCCCCTTGCTAGGTGCTAACACATAGATTCTTGCCTTGAAAGAGTTGAAGATCTAGTATGGAAGGTAAGAGATATACAAAAATATCTATGATAATAAGTAAAATGTGGGGGAAAAACATTAAAGAGGTTAAAAAAAAGACAAAAGTGCCAAGAGAGTTGAGAGGGAGATGTGTCTAGATACAGAAATTAGAAGATTCCGGAATGGAACAGTATTTGAGCTGGGCCTTAAAGGATAAGTAGGATGTTAAGAGGCAGGCATGGGGAGAAAGTAATTTTCATGAATAAAAAACAGTAAAGGAAAAGGGATAAGAGATGGAAATATGTGAGTTGAGTTCAGAGAATGGTTAATAGTCCAACTTGACTGAATTGTAGAATATAAAGAGAGAAGCAGTATGCACTAAGTAAGGTTGGATAGGTGAGTTAATTGGGTAATGGAGTATATTTGAACTTAATTCATTAGTCAGTGGAAAGCCATTGAAAGACTTTAAGCAGTGGAATGAAAAGATTAGGATATAATTTAGGAAGATTATTAATCCGGATGTAGTAAGTAGGATGATTTATGGGTGGAGAGAAACTGGAGGCAGAGGAACCAGCTAAAAAGCTAATTAATTAGGCCAGGTGAGAGATAATATATGCCTGAATTACGGCAATTGCAGTGAGAATAGAATGAAAATCAGCATTGCATAGTGGAATGTACATTGTACTGAGAATTGTAAAAACTGGGTTTCAATTCAGGCTCTGCCATTTACTGTGTCCTTTCAGATAAATCATTTAAACTTTCTGAACCAAGTTTTGTCACCTGTAAAATGGCAGTAAGTTTACTATGGCTCCAGCTTCCAGAGCCAGGCTGGCTATATTTCCTCTTGAGTGTTCAAGACTCTTTTTTTTCTCTATTATCATTAACTCAAGTCCTTGCCAGCAGAGATCCCTCTATTGTTAGGTGCCAATGACTAGTGCCTTAGTTCCATTTAACCACTTAACATCAATTAGCTTTTAAAAAGTTGTGTTTACCTTGAATACTTAGCAAGAATAAAATACAAATATTTCTTCCAATACTTGGGGGAATACTCTCTCCTATACCTTCTCTTCAGGGGGAAGAATAGGTTGAAGACTTAGCTCAGTTCCTGCATAGTCAGCCTGTCTACATGGAGAATTACATCAGTCAATCAAGCTGATAAGGTCTGTACAAGTGTCAGTCTCTGGTTACCATGGGGATAATGATACTTATGCTACCTATCTGCCAGGTGTTGTGAAGAAAGCACTTGGTATACCTCAAACCACTATTATGTGGGAATTATCGTTCTTAAAAAGGAGGGTATAAATGAAGGAGACATTGAAGACGTAAAATTGACAGGACCTGGCAAATGCTTGAACTGAGGGATTAGTGAGAGGGAAGAGTCAAAAAGTGACTCAAAGCTTTCAAGCCTAGGCAGTTGTGAAAATAATGGTGTTATTCCTAGGAATGGGGAAGCCAAGAGGAGGAACAGGTTTGGGGGAGGAGGGTAGATGATGAGTTATGCTTTGCATATGTTGCATTTGAGGTGATTATGGACATTCTGACTGAGATAATTGGTGAAGAGCTAGAAACATAGGTCTATGACTCAGGACAGACCTTAGGACTAGAGATACAGGTTTGAGAGTTGTCTTCAGAGAGAGAATGGTTAAAGTAATGGAAGCGGATCAGATTGGCAAGAAAGAGAGCACAGAGAGAAAAGAGAAGAAGGCCAAGGACAGAACTCTGAAAGAGCTCCATCATCTAAGGGAGTTGGGGCAAGAAGAGGAACCAATGAAAGAGAGAAGTGATCAGAGAAGTAGGAGATTCAGGAGACTGCAGTGAAATGGAAACCAAAGAAAGAATGAGCATGCAGAAGGATATAATAAACAGTGTCAGAAAATACAGAAATACTAAGGAAGATGAAGACTAAAGAGCCTAATTAATTTGGCAAGTAGTAGGAAATCGGTGACCTTTGAGAAAACAATATCATTAGAACAGCAAGGGCTGAAGCCTGGTTACAAAGGGTTGGTGAGTAAGTAGATGGTTAGGAAGTATCAGCACATATCTTAGAACTTTTATTTATAACATTTCTGAAAGTTTAGCAATAAAGAGGATGAAAGAGATGGAGTGGGAGCTTGAAGGGATAGTAACAAATAAAAGAAAAGTCATTTTTTTTTCTTTATGAGGAAGACTTGAGTATACTTTTATATGGATGAGGAGAAGCTAGAAGAAAGGGAGAATGTAAGGATGTTTGAAAAAAAAAGGAATGCTTGATGAATTGAGGGCTCAAAAGTGGTTGGAAGCAAGGGTACATGTGGAGAGGTTAGCTTTTGGAAAGAGTCATATTATCTTTCTATAGGAGAGAAGGAGAAAGGAATGGATAAAAAAAAAGAGAAGTCCAAAGGCATGGAGAGTGAAGTTGAAAGTACTCACGCTTAGGGAGACAGTAGGAAGTAGTAGGAAAAGCCCTGGATTTGGACTTAAAGGTTGAACCTGGTTCTACAACTTCATAGTTGTAAGCTCAGGCAAATCACTTAACCTCTCAGGAGCTCAGTTTCCTCATTGTTATTTATTTTTATTTATTTTTTTTAGTCAATTGGGGTTAAGTGACTTGCCCAGGGTCACCCAGCTAGTAAGTATCAAATGTTTGGTCTGAGGACAGATTTGAGCTCAGGTCCTCCTTACTTCAGGGCCAGTGCTCTATCCACTGCACCACCTAGCTGCCCTTCTCATTTTTAAAATAAGGAGTTTGGACTTGATTTCTTTCAATATCCCTTTCACTCTTCTTAAAATCCTATCTTCATTCCTACCACCCCAACAACCTCTCCTCCTATTTTGTCTAGAACATCATAGATCATAGAGGAGAGTGAAAAAATTTTGGAACAGACTTTATTTGTTAGAAAATGGGAGCGATATATCTGTGTGACCTTGGGCAAGTCACTTAACCCCAATTGCCTCACTAAGAAAAAAAAAAGAAAGAAAATGGGAGAGATAGAAAAATAAGAGATGGAATTCAGCTCATGGGTGTGCTAGAGCCAGTTTAAAAGAAACTGATAAAAAGAAGTATGTGTAGAATGATTATACATACACACACATATTTATACACAAATATTTGTGTGTATCTCTAAGAGAGGAGGGAAGAGAAAAAAGAAAAAAAAGAAATTTACATGATAACTTTATTACATATTTAAAAGGAATAGCAAGTTGTACATAATAGATTTGCAGTTTCATGTGCAAAAAAAAATTGCTAAATTTTCAGTGTGAGCATTTCCACCTCAGAAATCAGCAAATACTACAAATCAGAGCTTGATTTATTGCTTTGTTAATTATCTAGACTTAAGAAAATGATGGAGAAAATATTAATAATGTAGATTAAACATAACAGTATTTTTGGGGGGAGGAGAGCTGGTTATTAAACATTTACCAATGTGTAACTAGTTCAGACTTTTGAAGGTAGAGCAGTTCTAAAGGATGATAAGATGGCATAATGAATAGAAAACTTTTTGGTAAGTCAGAGATTCTCCAGAAGAGAGCAACCAAAATGGTGAAGGGCCTTGAATGCAAGTCATAAGTTTGGTTGAAGGCTCTGGGCATGTTTAGTTTGGAGAAGATTTGAGTGGGGGGGACATGATAGCTGTCTACAAGTATTTGAAAGGCTATCATGAAGGAGTGGTTAAACTTATTCTGATTGGCCATAGAAGACAGAACTAGGAGCAATGGGTAGAACTTTCAAAAAAGAAAAATTAGGTTTAATGTCAGGAAAAAAAAATACTCAACAGTTGGAGCTGTCCAAAAGTTCAGTGGGCTCACTTGAGAGGAAGTGGATCCCACCTAGCAGAGGATGAATGGACATTTGTCAAATATTTTATAGCAAAGTTTCCTTTTACGTCTAGGTTCCTTCCTGTGCTCAAATTCTGAATCAGAGAAGCTAGTTTCAAATGCCAACTCAGTCACTTCCTTAGCTTTGTGTCTATGGACAAGTCAACTTCTCTGAGCCCCAGTTTCTTCATCTGTCAAATGGGCTAATAATACACCTATCTCATAGGATTATTGTGATGATCAAATGAGATAATCTATGTAAAACACTTTGCAAAACTTTAAGCATTATGTAAACTTGAGCTAACATTGTTATTATTTGTTGATGGGTAGCTGAAATGGAAGTCTGTGGAGCCAAGATAGACACTAAAGAGTTAAATGTTAGGATTGTCAAAATGTAAATCAGTATGTATATTTCAATTCCTGAAAAAGGAGGATGATAGCAAGGGAGGAACTGAAAAAAAAAAAGAGGAGCCAAAGGCTAAAATTATTAAAGAAAAATCTGAATGTCCTTGAGGTCATCATATGACAGTGAAAAGGATGAGGACAAAGTGGTTGACAACTTAATGGATGTTTGAGTAAGCATCCAGGTAGGTGTGTGTCTCTCACAGAAGTTTTTCCCAACTCTAATTATGTTAATATGGTATCTTTTATCTACTTTAATATAGCGGTTTTTACCCCACAATGCATGACAGTTTTTGAATCATTTTTGTTATTTTATTAATTTTTTGATGTACTCTTTTGGCAATAGGAGTGAAAATGAAAGGGACGAGAACAAAGTCACAATTTCTCGGTACAGATCTGATGATACTTTAGACAGGTAAGTTGCTTTAAACATGTACAATGTGTTTAGAATATAATACATTCTGATTTTAGACTTGTAGTCAAGAAGACCTAAGTTTAAACTTTGCCTCAGACACTTTCTAGCCATGGGATCCTGTGAAACCACTTAACCTCTCCATCTCAGTTTCCTAATCTCTAAAATGGGGATAAAATAGTGTTTATAATAAATGGTTGTTGTGAAGATCAAATGAGATAATCTATCTAAAGAAAGTGATTTTCCAAAATCACAGGTCCAATCATGTCATTTCCCTGTTCCAACCCAATAAACTCTAGGGGCTTTCTATTGCCTCTAGGAGCAAATATATTTTCTCTGGCATTTGAAGCCATTTATATATTCTATTTTTTCAGTCTTCTTACACCTTACTTCCTGATACACACTCTTCAATCAAATGACATTGGGCTCTTGGCTGTTCCATGAAAAAGACTCTGGGCATTCTCTCTGTCTGTCTCCCATGCCTGGAATACTTTCCTTCCTCCATTCTGACCACTGACCTCACTGGTTTCCTTTAAGTACCAACTGAAATCCTAACTCCAACAGTAAGACTTTTTCAACCCCTCTTAATTCTAGTCTTTCTATTGATAATTTCCTACTTATCTTGCATATAGTTTGCTTTGTATATATTTGTTTGCATGTTGTTTCCCCTATTAGAATCTAAGCTCCTTGAGGGCAGGGACTATCTTTGCTTATTTCTGTATCTCCAGTCCTAAGCATAGTGCCAGCACAGAATAGGTGTTTAATAAATGATTACCGATTGATTGATTGCAATGCTTAAAGTACTATATAAATACTAGTGATGACTATGGATTGCACATAAGCTGTTGTTATATTTATTGATTTTATTTTTTTTTCTAAAGCTTTATTTCCAATAGTTAAGGTACACTGAACATGTGACATTCTGCTTGAAAAAGCTCATGATTTATCCATGAGACTGAATGTTACCTCTTATTTCATGCTAACAATAAATTTATATGCAATTTGGAGGGAGAAAATGTAGCCTGAATGTAGCTAGGGAAAACTACAGTGAGTTAGGAGTGATTAGTTCAGTTATAATGCATAAATTCTATATCTGAGAAATCCCTGTACTTCTTTCTCCATCTATCCTTGTATCTGCTCTTTCTTCTCCACCTATGTGGACAGATAGCCTCATCTCTCTCCTAACAACTTTGATGTTTCCATCTTGATTATGGGACAAACTGCAGTTTCTGTGCATCTATTTTATGGAGCCACTACATTTAATAATACAAAAGATTCATTCCAATCTGTAGGAAGGATAAGAGACATTCATTTTAAAAATTGGAACCTATTGTTTCAGTAACTGTAACATAGGGTACAGAGACCCCTAGTGTTTGATAGAGAAAGTACAAGTAGTTCTTTTCACTCCTTGTTTGGCCTCTTTGGAGAGTGTTAGGACAAACAAAGGTCAAAAGCCTGTGTACGGGTTACTTGTGATTGTTCATTGTAACTCCTATTGCAGACTATATTGGTTCAAATTCCAAGAAAAGCTGGTTCTGCCCTATTAGTGTTTAAATGCTTGAGGATGAAAAGTTCTTAATAATAATGATGATGAACATTTAAATAGCACTTACTATGCTATATGTCAGGCATTATGCTAAGGGTTTTACAATTATTATCTCATTTGATTCTCACAACAACCCTGTAAAGCAGGCTATTATTATCCCCATTTTACAGATGAGGAAACTGAGGCAAATAGAAGTTAATTGACTTGCCCAGGATCACACAAGAGTCCAAGGCCAGATTTGAACTGGGATCAACTCCAGGTTGAGTTCTCTGTCCTCTGTGTCCAAATAAGCTAAGTATGATGAGAAAAAGGAGTTGTTTAAAAAGTTTCATACAGTTGCTCAAGAAACTCATTGACCAACTTAAGTTTTTTAAGAGGACATATGTAAAAGGTGGAAGCAAGAGCAGTGAATGGAAGATGAATACGAGTACTCCTGTAAGAATAGTGTCAGAATGAGGAAAAGCCATTTAGGGATGATAAGAACAACAAAAAGATTATTGTTGCTTTTTAGCTATCTTGGTCAGTATCAAGGAAGGAGAATTGCTTGCAGGGGAAAGGTAGTGGCAGCACGGGACAACAATAGCAGATGACAAAAAATAGAGAACTTCTCAACTTTCTTTTGCTTCTTTTTTCTTTTTTTCATTTGTTTGTTTTGTTTTTTACTTTGGATGTCAACCTTTGAGCTGGAATAAAAAGGTGGCTCACAGGGATTTAAAACATGAGATGAGCAGGGAGATATGAGAGCACCTAGATTCCTTTAGTGAATTCAAGTTATCAGGCCTAGACAAATTATGTCCTAGGGGAATATAAGAACTGGTAGATAAGTTTGTTGAGCCTTGGTCAATGATCTTTGAAAGGTCATGGATGATCTGGGGAGGGGAGTGAGTAATTTATATTTAGAATTGAATAGGATTTAAAAGCAAAAAGCATCAATAAAACTTTTGAAAACAAAATAAAGTTCATAAAAAAGTAGGAAAAGTGTCTCAGAACCAGAGAAAGGCAAGTGTTCTAATTTTTTTTTAAAAAGAGGAGAGAAGTCTGGAAGATATAGGTCAGTGAATTTGGATTACTGGCAAAATTCCATAATGTATTATTAACGGGATGGTTAATCATCTTGTTGTTGCTAATGTTATTTGTCCCTTGTGAGGACCATGACATCAGGAAAGTCATACTATGACTTGCAAGTGAATTGGATTTAAGTGAGGAAGGGCTATGCAAAGTCACCAGCTTCACTTTCTCTCCAGAGCCATCTGGGTCCGGTGGCAAGATATATATCAGGACACTGGAGATGGCTCCAGATGCCGTGGGAGACCTTGACCAAAACAGAAACAATTTTCTGGCCAAAACAGAAACAATTGCTATTTACATTCATTCTGAGTAATCAGGGCCCAAACAATGACCCTGTGGGCTTGGTCTGGGACCTATTCTTGGCTAACCTAGGAGAGCCAGAGCGATTTGGGTTTAAGGCAGGATTCTTAAGAAAGAAATCCAGCCCTTAAATCCAAGATGCCTTAGAGGTTTCAGTGATTTACATTTCTTTGGGCAGGAAAGGGTATGATACCCTATGTGGACAGAGGAAGAAGGGGAAGGGTAAAGGGTAGGAAAAGGAGAAGGGAAAGGAAAAGAAAGGAAGGGAAGGGAAGGGAAGGGAAGGAAGATAGAATGAAGGAGCTGCATTGCCCAACTGGATAATGATCCTGTAGAAAATAAAGAAATGATGAATCATAAGAAGCCATCACCATCATGGCTTCATGAATGATAGGTCATACCAGACTAGCTTTACTTCCTCTTTGATGGCATTCCTATGTTAGCTAATCAGATAATATAATTTACTTAGATTTTTGCAAAACATTTGGCAAAGTCTCACGCTACTCTTGTGGAGCACATGGAGAGATATTCATCTGTTCCTCTTTGAGACTTGTTCTTGGAATAGAACTGCCTGGATTAGAGGGTGAATAAGTCAAATCTCACATCAGCTCTATATCTCACCATCACAGACCATCCTTTACTCTATTCAGCCATCCATTGGAATTCTCATGACTATCTTGTCATCCATTCCACTGCCCCTTACCTAATCTGCTTCTCTTTGCATGTCTTGCCCAGGGAACAATAATCAAATCAATATTACCATTGCTAATGGAAAGGGCAAGATAATATATGATTTTATACCTCTATTCATTGTCTCTATGACTGCCTAGACTAAAACTCCTTTCTCTGGCCACCTCTTCTTTCAATAAGTGCTGTATCTTTGAATTAGGAAGCAATCACTGCAGTTGAGGACTCTCCATGTGAATTCCTACATTTAGTGGAAAAGGCCTCTCCAAATGAGCGATTGCGTGGCAACTCAGCATATATATTAAGGAGAAAAGGGAAAGGCTCATTCACAAGACTTATCCAACAAAATATTTATTAAAGTGTATTTCCTATAGCCTTAGGAGGGCTAGAGATAGGATCAGGATGCTGCAGTCTTTCAAATCCAAGTCCCAATTGGAATGGTGGAATGACAACTTCATAGATGACTCTCCAGCTTTTCCTTTTTGTTTAGAAAAAAAATCTCATCTCTAATACATGTTGGAGATACTCCATATTTTTTGAGGGTCCCAGGATGGTGATTGGTGGGGAACAATGTATTATCTCTTACCTCAGCTTTCAGATCTTTGAATTCAGTGATTAATTGAGGGGTATGGGACCATGAAAGTGAAATATCTCCTGACTTACTCAAGGTTGGCTAACAAAGTAGATAGGGACAGTCTTATTTATGACACTAGATGTTATGGGTACATCTAGGCCAGATGGACAAATTATCTGTGAGGTTATTATTGATAAAAGAAGGAGAGACTTTCTCAATTAGTTTTAGGGGGTAAAAACAAAAACAAAAATTTTAAAAAAGGGACGATTAATACTTGAGGATACATACCAAGTGATGTGGACATAAATCTTCCTAGAGAGTTTAAATTATCTGGTAAATGCCAGAAGAATGGTCTTGAGTTATTCTTTCAAATGAAAGGTCAAAGACAACATAGAGATATTAGTGGGTTTTTTTCTTGGGATTCTACAGGTGAAGTGCTAACTTAGATTCCATAAGAGAGGGGAAATAAACTTCTAAGGCACAAAAGATCCTACCAGGATTATTGTAAGGGCCTTACTTAATAATATAGCTATGTATGAGTGTGTTCATTTACATATTTAAATATTCACTTATTTTCCTCAGAGTGCAGAAGGAAAGTCCTTTAAGTTGCAAAATTCTAAGAGCAAAATTATGAAAAAAATTATTAATTAAAAAAAAGCAAAATATGACCTTATGCACATAATGAGAAATATGGTATCATGGATAGAAAGCCAGCTTCAGGGCTGAGAAGACCAGGTTTTGTGTCCTGCCTCTGACACATACTGGTAATGTGACACTGGACAAATATGAAAGAGTACTAATTGAACTTCTTAGTGCTTTAGGAAACTC